CTCTCTCTCTCTCTCTCTCTCTCTCTCTCTCTCTCTCTCTCTCTCACACACACACACACACACACACACATACACACACACACACACACACACACTCACACACACACACACACACACACACCTTTCTTCTTCTTCTCTTTCCTCTCCTCGTCCTCCACCCCCTTGTCCCCTCCCCCTTTCTCGTTCTCCCTCTCTCTCTCTCCTCGTCATCCCTGTCTCTCTCTCCCTCGTCCTCCCCCTCCTCCGCCTTTTTTTTTTTTGCCTTTTTTAATTCTCCGTCGAAATTGATATTTCTCATGTTCCTTGTTCTCGCTGGTGCATCGTCAGCGTCTGCCACGTCAGCAGGTGTTTCGTCCGCACCTGCCACGTCAGCAGCCACCACGACAACAGTAGCCTCGTGAGCAGCAACCGCTTCAACAGCAGCTGCAGCACCCACATCAACCACTGCAGCACCCAGAGCACCTTCCAGTGCAGCAGCTGCCACGTGAGCAGCAACCGCTTCAGCAGCGGCAGCAGCAGCACCCACAGTACCTTCCATTGTCATGTCAGCAGCCACCGCGACAACAGCAGCCACGTGAGCAGCAACCACTATAGCAGCGGCAGCAGCAACCGCATCAGCAGCAGCCGCAGCAACCGCTTCAGCAGCAGCAGCCACTGCACCTTCCAGTGCCAGCTCCCGCAACAGCATCAAAAGCAGCAGCCGCGTCAGCAGCAACCCCGCACTGACTCTGCAGCATCACCGATGTCATGGCAGGGGAGCAACGGGAGCCGTTCCGGGAGGACATGACCTGTAGTAGGGACCACGTCGTGTGGTCTTGGGTCACTCCTGGGCAGATGCTGTCGGGCAATGCTCGTGGGTCGAGAAGACTGCGGTGCAAACTCTGCAACAAGGAGTACTCCGGTAATCAGAAGCGTCAACAGAAAAATTTCCCATAATTAAATAATCATTGTAGAGTAAAATTACATTCTAAATTTCAAATTTTCATTCCATCTTAAAAAATGTCATTCCAATTTTAAATTTTTTCGTCTTACTTGAAAACTTTCCTTCCAAGAGTGGGGTATCCCTTCCTATTTGAATTGCATGCTAGAGATGGAATGAAAGTCTGGATGAGTTCATGAAATATTTTAATTGGACTGCCATTCTAAGTTAGGATTTCCAGTCATAAATAGGTTAATCCAATCTAAAGTAGACGGTATTTGTTGTAGTAGAATGAAAGTCTAATTAAAACATTTCATAAACTCGTCCAGACTTTCATTCCATCTTGAACAAATAGATGTAGTTGGAAGGGAAAACTCATATTTAGACAGGAACTTATCAAATTAAATTGGAAATTTTATAATTGGACAAACATTGGAATGATAATTTATAAATATGAAGATTTTTTTTTTTATGGAATATTTTTTCAACTTTCATTTCTCATGGGAATTTTTCTGTTGGTGCGTGGGAGCACTTTATTTAAGCAAGGGCGTCTGCCAGGTGTCCACATTCAAACCTGTCGATTTGGAGGAGGCTGCATGGCATTGATGTACAGCTGCCACCGGACCTGCATGAGAGGGTGCAGCGCGTGTTGGAGAGGGAGAAGAGCGACGAGGGAGACAATCCTGTTCTGGGTGGAGGAGAAGCGGGCGAAGGCGGGATTGCTAAGGATCCCGGGGAGGCACTGGGTGGGGACACCATGGAGGTTGACATCGGCGAGGATGAGGGGACGAGGGGTGTTGTGACAGGCGGCCTTGCTACTCCAGGGAGGGCCGGTTCCTCGCCGCTTGTGGTGCAAGGGGCACGCATACGTGGCCCGACGAGGCAGATGAGCATCAGGGGGGTTGCAAAGAACTCAAGGCAGGAGGACATAGATGACTCATGCTGCGAGTTCTTCGTGGAGAACATCATACCGTTCAACGCTGCCAGAAGCAAGAGCTTCAGGAAGTTCATGCTGACGTGTATCGGACCACAGCCTGTGGGGAGTCATCGACTCGTGCCTACTGGGTACAACCCCCTCAGGTGTCGCTTGCCCGATCGTTTGAACAAGAGGTTGGTGAATGAGGAGCAGGCGATCCGTGACGACTGGCAGGTGACTGGCTGTACGTTCATAACTGATGGCACCACAAACATCTGTGGGCGATCACTTATGAACTACATCCTTGCAGGCCGATCGAAGCCTGTTTTCGTGAAGTGCGAGGATGTGAGCGAGGGAGACAAGGACTCTGCAGCTGTCGTTGTCGGGTGGAAGCGGTTCCTCAGAGAGTGGGGGGTGGAAAAGATCACAGCGATATGCGCTGACTCTTTCGCCGGGAACACGAGTGCTGCGAGGATGTTGAGGGAAGACCCCGAGTTCGCGCAGATCTATTGGATTCCTTGCACGGCGCATTGCATGGACCTCCTGATGCACGATATAAGTAAGAAGGAGTGGGCGGATGACATCATCACTAAGGCCAACAAAATAGTGAACTTCTTCTGGGTTCACAGGTGGCCTCGGTCGGAGTTGAGGACGTAACTGTTGAAGTACACTGACTTGAAATGCACCTGCCTCCTTCGGCCAACTCAGACAAGGTTTGGGACGAACTATGTGTTGCTGCAGCGACTCGAGGTGTGCGAGAGGGCCATCGTGCGTATCGTCACCGGACACGGTTGGGAGACCATGCGGTGGCGAGGGGATATTAGGGCGAAGGCGTACTTCGTGTTAGAGACAGTTCTTGACAAAGCATTCTGGGCTGATATCAAGAAGCTGACTGCCGTCATGAAAGGGGCCTTATAATGTGTTGCGAGAGGTGGACAAAGATGTTCACTGCTTGTCACGAATCTATTATATGGCGTGTCGGCTGCCTGGCTTCGTTCGCTCGGCCCCGCTCTCTGCGGACTAGCGAGATGACCTTCACAAGGATGTCAACAACAGGACGGACATGCTGCTCGGCCCCATCCATGTCGTTGCACGTTTGCTGAATCCTATGTTGAGGGACATTACTATTTTCAGTAATGTCGACCTCATGGCATAGTTCGAGAGCGTTGTGGAGCGGTTGATCGGGAAGCGTAAGAGTTCGAGATTTGACGACTGCATGGACCAGTTGTATGAGTTCCAGTTTGGGAGAGGAGTCTTCGGCACCCCGCAGGCAAAGAAACAGGTTGAGAAGGACAATACGGTGCTATGGTGGGAGGCGCATGGTGCAGGGCATCCAGAGATCCGAGAGATGGCGCTGAAGGTGCTCTCCATCTGGACGACTTCCTCTCCGGCGGAGATGAACTAGAGCACTTGGGATCTCGTGCAGACGAAGTCGAGGAACAAGTTGCACCACCAGCGCACCGAGAAATTGCTGGCCTCGCACTGGAGTTTGAGGCTCAAGAGTAGGGGGCAGGATGGGGCCACTGTTGCAGGAGGATGGTTGGGGCTCGCAGCCGACTGGGAGCACGAGGACTTGGAGGGTGACATGGCAAATGTCACAGAGGCAGTTGATGACATTGAGGCAGCTGGTGAGGGCACTGCTTCTGCGGTTGGCAGCACAAACATTCGCCCCGATCCCACAGCGCCGTCCACTTCGAGATCGGTGCAGAGGTTGGTGGAGGTGGAGGTGGAGGAGGAGGAGGAGGAGGAGGAGGAGGAGGAGGAGGCCGATGAGGACAATGACGATGATGTCCCCGACGAGGAGTGGGTGGACGAGAGATCAGACTCGGACAGATCGTGGACGCGGAGAGAGGGCATGGTCCCCTATGTTCAAGGCACACGATCTGGATTGAGGTCCCAGACGCGGGCGCGGCCAGAGGCGCAGCAAGGGGAGCAGCAGAAGCAGGACCAGGTTGAGCAGCAGCAGAAGCAGGTTGAGCAGCAGCAGGAGCGGGTTGTGCAGCAGCACGAGCGGGTTGTGCAGCAGGAGCAGCAATAGGAGCAGCAGCAGGAGAAGCAGCAGGAGAAGCAGCAGGAGCAGCAATAGGAGCAGCAACAGGAGCAGCAACGTGGGCAAGGGGATGAGGACCATCAGCATCAGCGAGGGGATGAGGAGAAGCAGCAGCATGAGACGGATGAGGAGCAACCGCAGCAGAGGGAGAAGGAGCAGCAGCACCAGAGGGTGAATCCCGCAGTCCAGCAGGAGACCGCAATGCAGTCATCCAGAGATGTGCACGAGGAGGGTGAGGCAGAGGGCGAGCAGGGTCGCAGCGCGGTGCGATGATTTTACGGTTCTTCTCAGCGGTCGCCTCTCGTTGGGCGGTGTCGCGCGCATCGGTCCGGCACCGCATGGGGCAGTGCGGGACCCTCCCGACCGCGTCACGCAGGAGTTGTTTTATATCCTTCATCGCAAAATATACATGGAGCTTCCATAAGCCGCTCCGGCCGAGTGCGTCAGCCATACCTCTCGCGAGCCCCTACGACAGGATAGGGCCTACGGGAGGCACAAGTTACCTCCACCTTACGGGAGCTGTCACCTCCCTTCGGTGGGCGTATCCCCGCCGAGCTACCAGTCCACAGTACGAAAGCTAATCAGTTGCAATCATAGAGGTGGACCAGCCGAGGGCGATTCTCGTTCGTTGTAGCATAGAGGGTACGCGCGGTAATACGTCTCTATCGGACCCGCACGTGAACCGACATCTTGGGGGGCTGAGGTCCCAAGCGTGGTTTGTCGCCGGTCGACTAGGACGCATCCCACACACCACGCGCACACCACGTTTACGAACATAAAAATAAAACACACACAAGCATACATACGAACGACACAACACAAACAACGCGACAACGCTCCTAGCCCCTCGGTAGCCGACCCATAACTTTCCAATGCGAAAATCGGATAGGCGTCGCGCGCGAGTATAAAACCGTGCCGGCATACGGCTAACTCATGTTGACTCGCAATGCAATCATACGCAAGCAGTCACAATGATGACGTACTATGTAGTGCTCATAATCTAGCGGTCCCTCGTGAATCCGAGTACCGCTTATGACACTCAAGTGTCAGACTCGAAGTGTCGTGAGAGTCTAATCCCTCACGACATTGCACGACTGAAGGAATAGTCGTGCAACCGTCGTGAGACCTCCGGCCTTTGGTCCGAGCGTCTCGGTAGACAAGGCAAATAGGCTCTACACGGGGGAAAATTCCTTCCCTGCAGAGTCTTGGGCTTGAGATGTCCTGGACAAGGTACTTGAATCCCGGCCTAGGACCAATGTCCGACTATAAAAATCTTCTAAAAAGCAAAGGTAAAAAGGGGAATCTCATTTTTCTCTTAAACACATAATTTGTTTAACCCTTATGCACATGATCTCAGTAAGTCGCGCACATACCCAAGGCAGATATAAATTTATATATAAGGTTTATTTATATAGGACGATCACTTCTCACAGTCACAGTGAGGCTCCTCTCAGCCATATATGTATGTAATCGCAGGCAGTCACATCCAGAGTCCGAACCACAAACATATCTGCAATCACATCAAAGATTCAACCAGAAGTCCACGCACTACACGGGGTCAACTTCAACCATTCCTTGCACTCATACCTCTCGCTTTAGCCATACAAGCCTCACTCGTGCAACTCTTAAATAAATACTCATTACTTTTGTTGGATGACCATTCAATAAAGTCCGAGTGTAAACACAACAAAACAGTTCAATCACAAGGCTAAAGCCTTTAGGTTGAGTGGCAGGAGTGAATTGGAGTTGAATCGTAAACCGACGAATCGGCAACCGACCTGTTATCAGTGATAACAGAATGTGATTCTTGTAGGATCAAGTTGAACCTAGTCCTGAACTTGAATCAAACGATCAAGAGGACCTGTAGCACATGACAGGTCAATGCCCAGGCTAAACCTATAAGTCCGTGGGGAACGATCCACATAACATGTTCTTACCCAAATCATCCTAGTTAATTGTATCGAAGCCTACCTCTAAGCAAATGCCCAAAGAAAGGTAGACTCATGACAAAATCTCCACTATTCAGAGTGGACTACCAGAATCGTCACTTGTCGAAATATAATCGATCTCCCTTAAACTAAGAAAATTTCGGCAGCGCTTCCCGTAGGAAAAGTGTCTTTCCAAAATTTATATAAGTCCAAATATGAAAGCAGAAATAATCTTTAACTCTGGAAAGTCCAATTTTGTCTAACTTTCTGAATTAGTAAAAATTAGGGCAGCACTCCCTTTAGAAAGGGAGACTTCCCAGATTTACACTAAGTCAGATATGAACTCAAAAGACAACTTGAGCTCAACTTAAACAAGATTTAACCAACTCCTTAGTTTTGCAAAAATTTCGGCAGCACTCCCTTTAGAAAAGTGTTATTCCAAAATTTATATAAGGCTAAGTCCAGAATTCGAAAGTAACTTTGACTTTTCAAAGTCCAATTTTAGTCTAACTCCCAGAATTAGCAAAAATTTGGGCAGCACTCCCTTTAGAAAGCGGGACTTTCCATATTTTTACGAAGTCAGATATAAGAAAAGACAAAGTTGAACTTTTGACAAGTCAAAATTTGACTCACTCCTTGGATTTATAGAAATTTCGGCAGCGCTTCTCTTAGAGAAAGTAGTTTGCCAAGATTTATACAAAGCCAAGTATAAGAAAAGATCCCAGAAAATGCGAGACTTGATCTAAGTAAAAAATACTTAGCTCAGAAAATGCAGGAATTGAAACTAACTCCTATAGCTCTAGCACGTGACGAGCGACTAAAGCAACTACCTATCAAATTGAAACTCAAACCAAGTAGTAACCTCACTCATCCACATGCAGGTCAAACCACAAATGTAAGTACTTTCACCATCCCAAGTCGATCTGAATAAACAATAGTTCATGATCTTTCAATGATTTATCCCTTTATACCCAGCTTACATAAGGCATAAAGTCAGGTCACCCAAACTTATGGAATGTGTCTAACTTAGCCGAGAAGTATACACAAAACAGAGGGCACAACTACTTCTCTCTTCTTTGGGCATATGCCTAGGTCATTCTAGCCGCCCTGAACTGTTTAAAATATCCAAGTTATATATACCTGCCTTCACCTTTGTCTTCTAAGGCTGCATATGACTGAACTAACTTGAGTTCAGTCTGCCCCTGCTTACCATCATGTTTATTCTTAGTTATATTCTTTTCAAGTTGTGATACGGCTACAGTCAGACCACCTAAACTTATAGAACAGTCTTATTAGCTCATTCTTAAATAGAATAGTAATAAAGTATAGCCAAGTTATAACCTTTGGGTTCCAGCATGTGCGAGGCTTTGAGCCAGACCCCCTGAACTTACAGAAGGGTCTAACTCTCTGCTAACTTCCTTTCTCTCTGAGCCATCATGTGTGTGGCATTGAGTCAGACCCCCTGAACTTACAGAAGGGTCTGCCCCTTTGTCAGGATAACTTCTTCAGAACAAAAGCAGAAAGAAACTGAGATACCTAAACTTATAGAGCAGCTCAGACCTCCTCGTTCAGAGACCAAAGAAACTCAGGAAAACCCAAAGAAAACAAGGCAACTCAAGGCACCAAAACTTTTTGAGCGTCCCGAGTCCCTGAAAATTAAGCACAATCAAACCCTTCGCAAGAGCACTCAGGCCACCTAAACTTATAGAGCGGCCTGACCCTCCATGCAATTCACAGCACCGGGTGTCCCCAAACTTATGGGGGCATCCCTGCCTCAAGAGTTATCAGACCCCCTAAACTTATAGAAGGGTCTAACTTCTTCATGCAAGGCCAAAATAAAACATAGCATTGGGGTTCCCCAAACTTATGGGGACTCCCCAGCCCTAACGACCCTGTCAACCATCATACAAACCAACTTCCCATCCTGCCCTCTCCCTGATGCAATTCCTTTCACAGGTCTGACTTAATTCAGCCAACAAAATCGAAACAGAACTTGAGAAAACATTCTTTTACTTGGGCTGACTCAGTGTCCTGAAGGTCAAACAAAGTCAAAGTAAGGTTGCACACCATATACTCAGGCAGAGATGCAATGGGTAGTAAAGATAGGGGTTATAATCCAGCTGTATAAAGGGAAATAGCAGGATTATCGTACAATTCTCTGCCTCCAGGACTCCTCCTGAGTCCCAGCAGAGCTCCCGCAATCGGTGGGCGAACCTCCCACAGAGGCCTTGGCGCGGATTACGGGTTGCAATCCCGCCTGCTGCCTTCTTCTCAGCACCAATGGACTAGACTTAGAGTAAGAAAAGGCAGACAGAGAGAGTTTGAGTCACTCAGATCCAAGGAGGGTGCTCTCAGGCTCACAGGAGAGGGCCTCGTTATCTGGATACTCCTGAGGGTCCCGCAATGCCGGCCAAACAAACGCAGTAGCTTGGTCAACCAGAAGTCCAACTGTCGCAACAGACTCTCCTGACGGACTCCCGAATCGCAGCACTAATCCCTTTTTGCACTGTCAGATCACTCCCCCCAATCTTACAATACTGTCTCTTTACGAAGAACGCTGTAACCTTCACAGAAAACAACCTGCGCAGACCGTTGCAGCAACAACACGCCGAGGAACACAATCGTTCCTATGGCATCACTAATAGTAGCAACTAGCACGTACCACTGCGGCAGCTAGCACATACCACTGCAGCAGCTAGCAAGCCCAACCGCAACAGCTAGCACACCCAATTGCAATAGCTCCCATCAATAGGATTGTACACAGCAATACACAACAAATCACAGCGGGAAGTGTTGCGAGGCAGTAACCGCCACGGCACAACAGCAACAGTCAGCATCCAGCCTATCGTAGCAGCCTCAGCAGTTCAGTCTTACTGCCAGCCTCGGCCAACACTCCTACTCCGCAGTCTAAGGTAAGTACTACAGCCAGTCAGCTCCAAGGGCACGAACAGCTATAAAGTCTGGCCCCTTGGATTATCCATGAACCCCCCTTTCAGATTTCAAACTCAGTGGCAAGTTCCGGATAGGCCACACTCCAACAGAGCTCGCCGTACTGGTTCACTCGATTGGCTGCGACGGCAACCGCCCATCCCACATTCCGAGTTTGTGGGACCACTACACTCCTCTGAGCCACTATACACACAAAAAGGAACACACCGACCGCTCTGCCTACGATCGAACGCAGCCATCCGTTCACGTGGGTCTCTCTCACTCACCCCCCCCCTTACTAAGTTCCACATCCCTCGGGCTGCATTTAGCCAGACCAAAAATTCACACGATCTGCAGGTACGTATTCCGCTCGCTCTGCACCCCTCTCTCGATAGACTGAGTAAAAACCCGAGGAACCTT